CTGTCTGCGCAGTAAACAGTTTGAGTGCAGTGCACCAATAATTTCTTTCTCTGAAGTGTGCTGTGTGTGTGTGTAAAATAAAACTAAAAAGAAAAACGTGTGAATAAATACACGTTTGCAAAAAAGAGATGTGTATGAAAAAATGCACGCACAGCGCTATGTTTTGTGAACCGTCTTTGACTTTAAAAGTGAGCGGTGCGCAAAATAATTCAAAGAAAAATCGATAACATTTATTTTGAAGTTAAGACGTGAACAAACGAGTGCACCCCGTCTCAAGTACGTCTCTCCTCTAGGGGTGCTGTTGAATGCAAGAAAATTGTTGTACTGATCATGTAATAGTGAATGCAACAGTGGCTTCGTGCCAGGGGGAGCACCTCACATGTGCGGCGCAGAGCGGCCAGGCACGGGCGCATCCTGATTTATGGCGTAACGCAAAAAGAGGGAAAGGGGGAGGGGGGGCGAGAGGGAAGTTGCACCCAGGGGCGCGACAGTGCAGTAAGGCACGGCCCGCGGGCACGGCGGGACAAAACAAAAAAGAAACGGAAGAATGTTTGGACTTGGCACCCGCTCAGAACCGCATCCGACATGTGCGGCAGTGCGGGACCGAGCCGCACGCATCTGACACATTCCTTCGGCAGAACCGCGGCGTCGGCAAGCGAATCAGGCGCGAAAGAGCCAGCGCCGCGGTGTGCACGCGCGCTCGCGGGGCAGGGTCAGGGTGGTGGAGGCCTTGCAGGCCTTGTTGCAGGAAGGGGCGCGCTGCGGACGGACAGGGGTATGTTCACAGGAGGGCACGCCGTCCGCACACCGCCGTCTCTCCCACCCGCCTCACCCGCAGCGCGGAACCCTTCTCTCCCCGCACCGCACGCTGCAGCAGACCTCCGCGGAGAGGCGCGTCGCCAACGACGCAACATCAAACTGACGATCGCGCGCGGCCTGCGGTGCGGCCCCCCTCAACGACACCGCGGTTCGACCCGACGCGCGCGACTCTCGGCCGAGCTGGTCCACATTTTTCACGGCCCTCTTAATTGAGCTCAGGAAGGGTTGCGGGCGTTTCGGAGAGGCCATAATAATAATAAGATTGCCCCCAATGCGACCAACAAGCGAAATTGTGAAACCTGCTCGGCCTCTCAAAGGGAGAGAGTGCCGAGGGGCGAAAAAAAAAAAAGAAATACCCAAACTTCTCTCGTCTCGATAAAAGTCACATTGTTCCTGAACAGGCATGAGGATGGGGGAGTGAGCGCGGCGGTAATTAAACGGCCGCGCCCCTTTCACACCCCCGCCGCCGCACCACGCGAGGCGAGCCCGCCGGCCCGACGCGCTCCTTTCAAATGGTTTATTTTTTGGCACCCTTTTCCTTTCTATGCCGCCGCCACGCCGGTCGCTTGTTGCATCCAGAGAGGGCGGCGCTCCCGGCCGGCCACCGCCCTGCCCCCGCACCGCCTCGGCCGCGGTGATATCAAAGGGGGGCGGCGGCCGCTGATAACCGCCATACAGACTTTCATTTGCGAATTCCAGTTTAGATAATATCTCCGGCTCTCTCTCGACACGGGCGCGGTCACGGAAAGACTCACGGGCGACGCACAGACACGCTAGATAAACCTCGCACACCAGAAAGAGTTTTTAAAAGTCGTCAACCACTTTGTCATGCCTGAGAACCATTATTGCACTCGCAGTCGGTCTGAGGCCAAATTTTTCGGTTGAGATTTCTAAGGAGTTTCTGGTGCGTTTTTTGGGGATGTATATGGTCAACGGCGCCCTTTCATGTGCCACTCCCCATACGGCCTCTCTCCCACTTACACGCACGCACACTAATGTGGAAAGGTTTCGACAGTCCGCAGGGTTATGTGCCGTGCTGGCCATTCAAAACTGCCGCCATTCGCCAAGGGGACGAATTAATTAAAGTCCCTCGTGTAGTGTGAGCCGCCACGCCCCAGCACGCACCAGCAACGCGGGGCCGTGCTCCGCGTCAAAATGATTAAATCTACTTTTCTGAGCCTGAATTCATACTAATTACAGTCGTGTATACGAGAGGCAGAGCTCGAGGTCCAGACAAGGCGACCCATCGCTTACAGCCGCATGGGGCATGGGGCCCACTGTGCACACCTGAACGCCAAAAAAAAAAAACATGGCAGAATGGGAGAAAATAAGAGGAGCGCCATCACAGAGCTATCGCCTTACACTGCAGCCTCGCCAGACAGTACGGCACCAGCCACCTGCGCTGCCAAAAACATGCTAGGGGAAGGCCGCAATCGGAAGAAAAGAAAACGATGCACACACGTCCGAACACGTACCGACGCGAAGTGGCTGGGGCGGTAGTAGAAATCGCCTGTAAACGGTATTTTCGTCCTTCCGCGCTGACCCGCGCGCCGGCGGGGGGTCCCGTCCACGCGGCCACCAATACCACGTGTGGCGGCGAAAAGCCTTGGGGCGCGCATCACGAGTCGAAATAGCAGCAAGGCGCAGGAAGTGCATCGGGGCAGCCAGGGGCAGTCAAGGCCAGCTGCACTGTACAGTACCGCGCGCCGTAATAAAGGCTTTCGCGCGCGTCGCGGTGGGGGCGGCGGGAGGGAGGGAGAGGAGGGGGGGGGGAGATCCGGACGTCCGCCGACCTTCAGCTCGTCTTAGCGTCTGATGCGGGACGCCCGGCGACGACGTCCCTTGGGTCCCTTCAAAACGCACGAGAAGGGCTCGCCCATGGAAATGGCACACATGCGCCTGGAGACACGCGGGAGCACGCTAACGAGACACGGGCACGGGCGGTCGTACTCTGCCAAAGGCGAGCCGAAGTGCAAATACACTGCGCACGGGAGTGAGTACTAATACTATCACCACCAAGTACTCTCACTCGAACTTGCGTGGCACCAGGACTAGGGTACGCACTAAAAGCGACAGTTTGCCTCGCGTGATATCACACTTTAGATTCGGCAAGTAATATGTATTCCATAGTCAAAGTCTCCCCCTACTGACCCACTGGGTGAGGGCGGATTACATGCCGTCCAGGCCACTGTGCCCGTGTTACGGCCCCATTAATGGCATCGCGACAAAGTAGTATGTATGAAGACGGACGACGGCCGATTGGGAAGCGCGGCGTGGAGTGGAGTGGCGTGGCGCGGCGCGGCGCCGCACGCAGGGTGGCCCGCCGGTTTTTATTGTTTATGCCCGTCCTCGCCGCCAGATAGCGTCGCCATCCGAGAGACACTTGGAACAAAGACAATGAAAGCGAGCCGGTACCGTTCAGCGTCACGGAAGTCGAGTGCGGCGGCAGATTCGGCTTGCCCGCGCCGCGACGCGGTGCGCGCGCAGGAGCCATTCCCCCCTCTCTCTCTTTGCGCTTCCCTCTCGCGTCGCTCGCGCCATTCGGAGCTTCCCCGCGCCGCCACCAGAGGGCAGGCGAGCGCAGGGGGTCGACGTGAGTCACGGGGAGGCGCTCGACACGCGCTCGGCTGCATCTTTCATATACACATGTCCGCCTAAGCGGACGATGAGTTTTAGAAAGTGGCAAGCAAATCCATGCAGACGGTCATAATTAGGGTTTTTCAAAAAAAGGACTGAGCATCTCTCAAATCTATTGAAGGGTTGCGCTGCGCCCACTCACGTGGAGCGGATAAAAAAAAAATGAAAGACTAAAGGGATGATACCCAACAACAGCGCGCGACCAATGATGCATGGCAGCCTATTGATCTGCATGATGCGCGCGCGCTCCGAACGAGACAAACTCATCTTGGCATCATTCTATTCGACCAAATCTGGACAGCCATATGGAGTCGGTTCGAAAAGGGGTGGACGGTAATAACAACCATATCGTCATTTCCGCCATATACCTACCGCCTATACACAACAGGCACGCACACCCGCACAAGCGTGCACACACACACACACACACACACGCGCACAATGCCATCAGGTGACTGCTAAGTGACGATGCAAAATTTATTCTCCACGCCCGGCTGCGGCAGGCCAAAGGGGTGAGCGGCGATTGACTTGCAGAATCATTGCAAAGACAACGCGGCCCGCCGCGCCACGCCGCGCCACCCGCGGAGATCATTAAAAGACTTGCATATTCATGTTGTTCGTTGTGACCCGTTTTGTAGTTGCTTTTGAGCAACGAAAAAAGGGGTTTTCAATGGCGCGACACGCGACACAGAAAGTTCGGCAATAGAGGGGAGCGGAGGAAGGAAGAGCCCCTCCTCCCCCCTCCTTTTCAGATTCCGTCTGCTTTCCTATTGATGAATCGATACCGAAATATAACGAGTTATTGTCGGAACAAGGTTCCTCTGCGTTCGTCAGCACATGAGGGTTTCCTTTCTTTTTTTTCACGCACAGTGCGGAGGGGCAGCCTTATTGTATTAGCGGGCACAGATGACTGTCATCCTTCAGGACGCTGGCGGCGCCGGTCGCGATTTTTCTCCCGGCTCCGTAACGCTCTCTGGCGGCAGCATCGCCGGGGACAAATGGACGCTTTTAAAACAGGGGATTATGACTTTGCCTTCCGCCTCGGGGGAGCGAGCAGCAGCAGCACCAAAGGTTAGGTGGCGCCCCGCGGGCCCCGCGGACCCCACCCAGCTGCCAGAGTAAATCATCATAGTTAAAACAGCTCTACTGTTTCGTGGCCGCTCTACCAGCCAGTAAGAGGCTGTAACACACTTGAGCACTGCGCCTCTGCCAGTCACCGGTTGTTACACACTTGAGAAGTACATTTTCTTATTTTCCTTCCTTCCCCCCAGGAGCTAATATTATTAGCCTGATGACTGTCGTTAGACAGGCACACAGCAGCGGTGGAAGAGTAAGATGTGGGGGTGGTGGAGAAAGCAAAAGTGGGGTGGCGAGGGGGACCCATTTGTATCGGGAATGGCAGTGATTAGCGACAGGCATTTGTTCTCGTCGCCACAAAAAGTCACATTTAATTGAATTGCGCTCAGTGGAGAGGTTTTCGGACTTCTGACATACTCGTAGTTATACCGGACGAAGGATTTTTTTGGAAAAGAGGAGTATGAACGTATATTTATCAAGTTTTATTAAAACCAATTGAGTTTTCAATTTCATGCATACAAACAGTGAATCTTTGTACAAAATGAAAGACATAGTGGGTAAAATGCGACGTTTATAGTACAATACAAACACACACTGACTCTATATAAAACGTTAGGCCACAAAATATCGTTGCCTTAAATGACTGACTAAAAAGAACAAAAATGAGATAGTATACTTAAAATATAACTCAGGATAAAAACTTAAGTTGATTCTAATACATTAAAATTATGTTAGCGGCAGTGGAGATATTGAGATCTCAATTTAGTGTCAAAATAAATATATGGCATACATGAAAGAGTTCACAGGAAATAATGTTTAATTAGTGAGCTGATTACAAGAGAAAAAATCTTGAGAAAATCATTAAAGTACGGTACATTGAGGGCTTTTCTGCTTGTAATCGAGTAAAATAACACCAAAATACATTTCCAGTCTTCATGTTCAACACAAAGTTTGGACACTTAGCAACAATAACCACGGCATGAAATATAAGATGATTTGTGTTGCATTGTAGCTATTACGATCGTTCATTTATCTTAAGATCAAAAAGATACAAAATGTACATAATATTTACAATACTTAAAACTAATCAAAAACATCTGAGATCACATTTACAGCTTTGATGAAGGCGTCTTGGGACCTTCAGAGAGAAAGACCCTCGGACTGACAAAATGCAAAACCAAGGAAAATAAAGGAAAAACAAAACACTGAATGACAGTTTATATGAAGACGCCGTGTAGTGAGAGAGGTGAGGGGCTTATCACAGCCAACCTGATGGCTTCATGACTTCACGACCGGAGATCATCGGGAGAGCGGCTGACTATGGAGTGAGATCAAAGGAGTCTCTCGTCGGCTCAAAACTTAACATCACAGCTTGCTGGCTTTGCGTCCTGGTGGACAGGGCGAGGCGGGCGGCGGGAAGGCCCGCGGCCGGCCCCTCCCATATGCATATCACAGCACCACAGCCAGATGGCGGCTTCATATGGGTGGCGCCCTGCCGGCGTCACGCAACGCACGTAAGAATTTTTTATCAAAAGACGAAATAAATTTAATATTAAAATATACTTTGGTTTCGTTAAATCGATAATCAAAAGAGACAATTTCATATAATTATCAAAGGAGATCCAAAAATAATGTACTAGTAAGTTTTTGGCCACGCAACACTTAATTTAAAAAATAAATATGGCGAGCGAAGAGGGCAGCAGGGCGCCAGAACACTAAACTAAGCTATATATTAATAAAATAATAATAAAACTCTCAAGCAATACGCTATGTACACTCAGCAAGCCGTGTGCGCGCGCGTCGACGGCGTCCTGGTCAGCTCTGCTCTCTTGCCCCGGTGACCACTACGCGCCTTCCTTGGGGTGGAGCGGGGCTTTCGGGTGCGGGAGCGGGCCGGTGGCGGGGCGACGGCGGTGACTTGCTCGGGGGCCGCAGGGGCCGCGGGCAGACCGGAAACCAAGTCCGGGATGGCCATTGGCGCCGTCGGCGAGGTGGGCGACGGCGGTGCCGAGCTATCTGTAACACAAAAACACCTGGACGTCAGCAAGGCGGGTGACTAGCGCAGCCTGGCGGCCGCGGAAACAACTTGGCGCGTGCTCCGGGACCCTCCGCGTCGGGCGGGCCGCGGCCGCGCGCCGCGCCGCGTACAGTGCGCTCCGCGCGACGCTCCTGTCGACGCCGCGACGCTGCGGGCGGACCAGCAGCGAGGCCGGCGAGCGCGCCGACGTGGGACGTGTGAAAACGCGATCAAAACATCGTCCTCGACACTCACGAGTTACAGTTTGCCGACCGTGACCAGAATGCAACTAAAGAAAATACTGTACCCGGGCCCCGGAGTCGACAACCGAACTAGACTTAAAGGGGATGTATTCAACGGCTCGGGATAGAACGGCAGCACACGCGCACTGAGTCCGCACCACAAAAGAGCGTAAAACTTTAAGAAACTGCTCAAGAGAGCTTTTTGAACGAACTTATCTAATGAAAACGTTTTACTGGTTTCACAAAGGTAAATTTAATCAACGTTTTCATGACCAAGAAAAACCGTGTAAGTCCCGAAACCACACGGGAAACAATGTTGAGTTTAAGAAACAAGATTCGGAAGACAAAAAGCAGAAGGGCAACTAGTTGACCAGTAGTTCATTCCGTGATTTTGGTATTTTTAACAATGTTCAGATATTTTAGCCAGAGACTTAGTCAGGCGGAGACTACGCGTTCAATTTTTTCTAACTATTTTAACACAAGTTTTCTCGTCTTTTTTTTTACACTGAACTTACCGGAGGCAGAGTCCTCGGACGTCAGCTCGAAGTCCACCTCTTCGTCGGTGACCTGCAGGCGGAGCTGAGGTCGGCGGATGGTAAGACGACCGCCCGGCTCGGCCTGGCCGCGCTGCGCCAGGATCCTGGCGAGGACGGCAAACAGATCGCTCAGAAGGCGGTCCAGGTCCTGGAGGTCCTCACCACCTTCGCGCGGCAGTTGAAATGGGATGGCCATGGCGGAATGGTGTGAAGCGCTGAATACGAGTCGAGAAGCACTGATGCGTATGGCGCAGAGTCTCACACACAGAAGTCGAGCTTCGATCACCAAGTCACAACACAAGACCAGTCCTGGTTGACGGTCTAAGGCACAAGCGACGCCGGTGCAAATCCAAAGGGGGCACTTGCACAGCACTGACTCTACTGACTCACAGGGTCCGGCTCAGAGCACTGACTACGGACTGACTGCACGTCTTCACTCCGCGGCGAACGACCAGCGACTGACTGACTGAGCTGCACACAGCCGCACCCTCTCCCTCTCCAGCACCGACTACTCGCTCATGGCCACGCCACGACACACGGGAGCAGCGCCGCGACGGCTTCCCCCTCCACCCCGGGGAAGTTCCAGCAGCGACCGCGCGCGACGCGCGAGGGCAGCACCGTGCAGCAAGCGCACACGGCG